AAAAAGTTATCAAGCTCTTAAAAAATCACCCGATAGATAAGGGCATGACGAAATATCTCCAGTCATCAAACAAACAGTTGTCGCACTCGCTACTAGGCTACTACATAACTGTTGACAATCCTAATTTTGAAGTCGTAGATAATTTTGTCTATCATGGAACCAGTATTAGCACCAACATCAACGTTAGCTTCGAAATCCAACGCAGAATATCTCCTGCCAACAGGTGCTACTTTGTCTGGTTCAGAAGCAGTGCTACTTACAAGAAGACAACGAAGGAGGGTTTGATTTTTGGATAGCACAAGATGAACAGTTTTATCGTAATGTCATTCGAGAAGGATGAGAAAAGGTGGTGACTAGTGAAAACGTAATTTCACACCTAAAATACCTAAAAAATTAACTCCATTTATTTGTCACGAGAATATGGAAAGAGTAAAACAAAATGCTAATTTTCGGTGCCTAATTCGACACTTGGAGTGAGTATAGTAGCCAGAAGTAAAAGCTTCTTCTGGCTTTATAGTTGTAGATATGAAAAATATGGGTTTCACGGTTTGTTTTGTTCGCGAATACGAGGCGCCCAATGATCCCGAACGAAGCGTGAGAGCTGCAGTTAAAGCTGGCCTACGTTTGAGGAGTTTTTGTGTCGGAAACAAGTAGGAAGTTCGGATGGATTTCTCAGAATTTGCTAAACACCAAAAATGCACTTGCTAATTGTCTGGAATGTAGCTGAACATCATTTAGTTGCGTGTGTGAAATCGCTTTCACGAGGCGTTAAAAGCGCTCGAATATGAAAACTTGTGGCCATATAGAGCATAACATTTTTTTTTTTCTTATCAGGCCTTCAATTCCTATAGACATTTTAAAAATTTGTGATTCATGCAAGTTAATTTCTATATTTGCAGAGTTACCAGACTGTTTGAAAGTATTTCAAATTTTTAACTAAATATTAAAGAAAATATAAATTGGAACGCAAGTTTGTTAAAAGTGTTTGAAATGTTAAATTAGAAAGAAATATGGTCAAAACTATTTATATAAAAGATTACAACTTTTTGTAATTAGAATATTTAATAAAAATTATTTCTCTTAAAAATAAAACAAGTTTTGTTACTGTGACTTAATGGTGGTAGTAATTGCATATTTAGTAATAAATTTATATATGTATAATTTGTAGTCATAAGCGTTACTTATAAGTAAAAAGTAATTGAGTTGCGTTGCCATGCAAATTTTCCACATTTCCATATCAATATATTACAATATTTTTTAAGAAATTAAAAAAAAAAAAGAAAACACTGAACAAGTTGAGATTGAGTTGAGAAAACTATTTTTTTTTTTTTTTTTTTTTTAATTTTAAAGTCACTTAAGAGTTTAATTAAATTGTAAACGAGTGGTATAAATACATACAAATAACGTGTGAACGTGTGTTAAGGTGAGAGGCGGTGTGTAACGTGGTGTTACAAGAGAAAAAGAGATAACAGCACGTGTAGAGAATGTCAAAATTTTGTTTATTCTTTGTTGTACAACACAGGTTAACGGAGTTTCTGTGAGGCATTTAAAATATTTATCACACACACATACACATAAACACAATACATTACACATTTGGCATATAACAACATTATGGATAAAGGAATAATTTATTTAATTACAAAAAATTAAAAATATTAAGTTTGAATAGTGAATAAAAATTATTTTATAGATATATTTTAATTTTCAAAAAATTAAAATTAAAAAATTTGGTTGACATTTTTTATGGAAATTATATATAATACTTTTTGTAAAAATACACACAATTGCAGCATTCCAAAGGGTGCCTGACTTACATAATTCAATAATTCAATAAATCAATTCAAAAAAGCGTGACTTGTAATATAAATGAGTAGGACTCGGCACAACAAAACACTTAACACACTAGAAAAGGTTACGAATTGTTAACGAGTGCAGGCTGGCGTGCGAGGGAGCTAGCGTCACGCGAGCGTGACAGTTATATAGGGAAATAAAGATAGAGAGAGATATAGAGAGGTCTTTATTATTATTTGTAGATTAAATTATTATCTTACATTCCCATGGATTTGCAGTTCACTCGGCGATAGTACGAAATGTACGCCGGCATTATTGACACCGACGCCGACGTCGTTGCCGGTGCCAACGCCAACACCAACACCACCACCAATTATAATACCAGATGCTGAAGTTTGTAGAAGGGGTGTTCAAGGGACGAGCACACACACGAGCACAATTTGACGAGTGGGCCGATCAATGTGTTTGCGATTCGATTAAGTTCGTGTTTTTTTTTTTTTTTGTGTTTTAATTGTGTTGAACATACGAGTACAGAGACATTTATAGTTGGGTGTTGGGGGGGCGAAAAGAAAAGAGAGAGGAAGAAATCAAATTAAATACAATTTATTAAAGGGCAACCAACGCAAACAGCTTTCTATGTACGTATAGATGCATGTGTATTTGTTGCACTTTGTATTGGAGTTTCACTGTTATTAAGTTGGTGGCAAGCTATTTGTATGTATGTGTGTGTGTGTGTGTGTGTGCCCTCTGCCCTGTTGGTAAACACAGCGTGCAAGTATTTGTTTACCGTTGCGTGTGCAATTTGTAAACACACACACATACACACACGTGAATATAGTAAATGTGTTTGCTTTTGTGTGGTGGTGTCTGTTGCAAAATTACATTGCCACAAATATTGTGTACGAAAGGGTTTTCTTTGTTGCATGTTCACTTGTCTTTTCTGCTTGCACGCCCAAGCGTTGGCGTGCATGTGTGTGTGTATGTGTGGGCGTGCTCTGGTGGGTTGCATTTTAATACGTCTCCTATTTATGTATGTGGGTATGCTATTATTCATGCTTGCAGTTTCATTGCAATTATACGGTTATTTTGCTGCCAAAGTTCTATTTTTGGCTATATCACCAGAATGAACGTAAAATTTAAATATAATGAAAACAAATTTTAATATTTTATTTTTGATTTTGAAATTGTGGAGAATTTGTTGGTTTCAATTAATTAGCGCAAAATTCTATAGAAAATGCTGTACGWGGAAAACGTATGTATGTATGTATAAGTTAAATGCCAAGTAATTTTATAAATATTTCTATGAATTTTAATAATAATTATGTACTATTTATAGCACATTTTAGGAATAAAAATGTATAATATAAAGTAGAAAAATACTCAGAAATTCTTAAATACAAAAGATTCCAGCTAAAAATTTGTTTTTGATCGTTCGGTTTGTATAGCAGCTATATGCTATAGTGGTCTGATATGAACAATATCTACGGAGGCTATTACGTTTCTTTGGACAATAATATATCTCAAATTTTCTGAAGATGTCTGCTCAACTGAAAAAGTTATCCTAAATGTACAAGATTTTGATGGAACAGTTTGTATGGCAGCTATAGGCTGTAGTGTTTCAATTTGAATGATCCATTCAAAGATTGTAGAGTTGCTTTAGGCAATAATCCAAGCCCAATTTCACGAAGATATCTTGTCCAATAAAAAGGTTTTCATACAAAAACTTGATCTTGATAGTTCAGTTTGTATGGCAGCTAGACACTATAGTGGTCCGACCTGAACAAATACCGCGGCTCTTATAGAATTACCTTGCATAATAATATATGTGAAATTTTGTAAAGATATATTCCCAAATAAAGAAGTTTTCCATACAAGAACTTGATTTTCATTGGCTAGTTTGTATAGCAGCTATAAGCTATAGCAGTTTGTTCTGAACAACTCCATCGGACAATACACCAATGTCTTAGACAATGAAGATATCTCGTCAAAGGAAAAAGCTTTCCATACAACGGCTTGATTCTGATCGTTCAGTTTGTTTGACAGCTATATGCTATAGTGGTCCGATAACGGTTCTTCCAACAAATGAACAGCTTCTTGAGAATAAAAGTGTGTGTGGCAAATTGTAAACCGATATATCAAAAACTCAGGCACTAGTTCGCGTATATACAGACAAATGTACTTCGATAAACCGAGTGAGCTTGTCGCACTGATCGTTTAAGTTTCGTTGATAAAATCTTCGCTTTCACGCTGTCCAGAATAAATTAATTAAATCATAAAGAAACTAAATTCATATTCCGCAATATAATATCAAAGGGCGTGACTTAATCTTGTATTATATATAAATATAAATAGAAAATATTAAGATTTAGTTAATATATATATAATACATAAGAATCTACTAAAATAATAAATATATATATTTAAAAGAACTAATTACGGACTACGTTGAATGATAAACTTGAAAAATACCTTATTTTCTAACTAAAAAGGTCAGATAAAATGTAGCTCTCACAATAATAATATGTAGGTAGACAATAAGAGTGAGTATCTGACGACACACCTAGCCTGTTAGAAAACCTATTGTGATCCCTACGGTAATAATGTCTCGTCTCTAAATCATCATCATGCTTCTGATGAAGTTCAACAGCACAAAACGTAGCGTCATCAAGAAACTCTCGATCCATAGTGGCGATTCTTTTTCTATACAAATCCTTGCTTTTTCATATCATATGCATTATTGTTTCCTCTTTTTCTACCGCCTTACAGACTCTACAGCATTCGTTTTGTGGTGTTCCCAAGCTGCTGACATGTTCTTCAAATATATGATATATAGTGGCATCAATGTGACTCCTAACAGAGATTGCCTCTACTAAGACTCAGCTATAATTATAACATCTTTATTGATTGCATATCTACAAGTAGCCAGAGCTAAATAAATTCTCTCTCTACGTAGTTCATCTACTTCAGAGTTGAGCGAGGATATCACTAGGATTATCGTGAAATAGGATGTTAGACCCACTAAGAGATCAACAAATCTTTTATTATATTTGAAAAATGTAATATAATATTGGTAGTACTTTCAGTTACATGTATGTCAAATTTCATGGCCAAATATTCATTAGTTTTTGAGATACGTGTCGTTTTGTGGGCTGCTAAAAGTGAGTTTTTCGTTTTTTGCGTTGTCGGAATTTGTTGAGCAAAGAATTTGCATTAAATGATCATTTCGCCAAAAACTCAACCCATATCGTTCCGCAACCATCGTATTCACCTGATTTGGCGCCGTGCGACCTCTGGCTGTTCACCAAGCTGAAAAGACCGTTCCGGGGACACGGTTTTTATACGATATTCAAGCCGCAGCGAAGACGGTACTGAAGGCCATCCCGGAAGGTGACTACAACCAGTGTTTCGAAGATTGGAAAATCCGTTGGCATAATGTATTACATCTAGTGGGGATTACTTTGAAGGGGATGTAATTGATTTGGAAAAATAAATGAAGAATTTTCAAAATAAATACAATGTCACCTTATTTTTTGGGCACAGTATCTTTGTTAATAGATTGATTACATGCAAGTCATTTCAATTATATGCTTGTTGAAAGCATCTACCTCCACAACATAAATATTTGTGCGGAAATATGTGACATGTGTACTCTGGGAGGGCCGTGTGGGTTTGCACATTAATCCATTTTGCTTTGATGTGGTCACTTACGGTGTGAAATTAAATTGAAGCGACCACGAGCCTTCCCACAGTCTGTGGGGACAAAGCGGAAAATTAAGCGAGCCGTGGGCCGAGGCACATAAATAAACGCCCACACACACACACACACACACACACCCACACAGTCCGGCATGCGTCCATCAAAGGCTGTTTACTGCCTTGTATGTGGCACTGGCGCAAATACGCGTCAATCCAGCGGATTTAAAATGAAGTGAGTGCAACCAAAAATTACACCGCCATTAAAGTGGACCAGTGCATGGCGGGGCAACATAAATGTGCTTGTCCTACTGACAGTATGTGAGACAATGCATCGCGCCAATAATGTTGGCAGCGCAGCAATTTAAGTGCATCAAGGCATCGGACGGCGGTGAGTGTAGGGATTTTATTTATTTATTTGTTTTTTWGTTTTTGTTTTCGTTTCATGCGCTTAACAACAACAAGCGCTTGAGCGCAATTGTGACACAGTTGCAAACGTAGCGGCGCGAGCAGGCACCACACTGTGTGCGTGTGTGTGTGCGGCGACTGCGGTATGCGTTATGTTGCTGTTGTTGTTTATTTGACGCATGCAACTAAAGTAACACAGCTAGGGACCGAGTTTGGGTCAAGATGAAAATAAAAATGTGCCTTGTGAAAATAAATGAAAGTACATAGCCATACATATGTGAGCTACACGTATGTTACTCATACGTACGGGTGTACAGCTGAGGAAACATTGCGACAATAGCAGTGGCAGGCGCGTTGGAGCTGTGCTGCCTTTGAAGCGACTTAGCGCACAATGAAAGTGCTTTAACAGTTAGCCACATATCCACATATCCACATATTCACACATACACATACTCATGCGTATAAATACATACATGTACATATGCAGGCGTATTCGTTTTTAGGGCCAAGTATATCAAGGCCTGACCTTTCTTTCGCTGATTTCATGCTAAGCTAACAATGCGTTGCCGCATTATGTATATGCATGCGACACACACATATATCGTATTAGTTACAAGCACATGTACACAACCATACGCATGCCATTGGGTCGGCATTGTTGGCCTAAAATATTTTTAAAATATATTTTCACGCCAATATATATATATGTATATTGGTGCTATTTTTATCGCCTGCTTACGTACGTCCGAACGAGCTTTGTATTCGGGGGATGCCAAATTTATATACGACGCAATTGAAGTCATAAAGAGGACAGTATTGGCGTTTTAATGCTCTTACACGCACGCAATCTAAGCTAGCCCTATGGCTGCCAAATCTACGAAATATAAACTGCTATTTTTGCTGAAGTCCAGGAATGAGTTCCATTGGCCGGCCATTGATTCGCCGTTCAGTCGTGTTGTGTGTCGAGTTGAGTTATGGACTGCTTTACATGGAGGAATTCAAAATAGATTTAGTAGGAAATCAATTTTCCGAGAATAGTTAAATACGTGGAAATTAGAAATCCTGCGTACGTGCACCTGTATATATAATATAAAAGAAACTGGACTTTTGCGAATTTATTAAGAAATAATATTTAACTGAAATATTTAAGAATCACTAGTATTGGCACCAAAGGGTAATATCTGTTACCAAGTCGTACTCAATCATGCTCGAAGTCTGCGAACTTGCATCTTGGGTTTCTGAATGAAGCATATGTTTTTGGTGTGAAGTGATATTTATCATGCAGAT